AGTTATCCACCATCTCTTGAAAGGCACTATGTAAATAACACAAAATGTGGATGTTTCAGCGATCGGTGCCTGCATTAGCATTGCTATTCCTGCTTCTTTTTCATAAGTTTCAACTTCAAAGACATTTAAGATTATCGGTATGTTGTTTGCTGTAAGTAGCAGATCTCAAACACCGTCTAAAGCTTAATCAGCATCCACGATTGGATTAGCTGCGGTGCATGTTTCTTATCTCAGAAAGCAAATGCAGAGATTATGTAACAAGTGAGTGCTGCATATGTATGGGGATTAACCAAAGGAGGCTCACAGTTTGAGCTTCACATCTGACTGACTGCAGTGTGTTTGTGTCTACGCATGAACTGTGGCAGTCGCAGGCTGAGAGGTCGAGCAGGGACTGGGAGCTGAAGTGAGCTGGTTTAAACTTGCTCTTCTACCCAGTACGCTGGACCGCTCTTAGAAGAGACCACTCATCCGGCTATTTCAGGCATATGTCAAAACATAAAGTACATGTACATCAGAGAAGGGTAATATGTTAACTGTGTTCATGTTGCTGGATGATTGGTAACTGAGGCTCGTCATTTTTCCCATCGATAGGGAAAACCTGTCAGTGTGTGGATCTCGGTGGTGGCTCCGCTGCGTCCTCCTCAACATCCTCCTCTTCCTGCTGCTCTTCTTCTTCACCACTCCTGCCATCATCGTCAACACCATGGACAAGTTCAACGTCACAAGGCCCGTGGAGAGTCTGAGGGTTAGAGTTTCAGAGCAGATTAAACTTACTGACGTCTGTGCTCCATTGTGAACCTCTTCACTTTCATCAATCGCCATTTTGCTGTCCAATGCAGAGCCCAGTGGTTACAGAGTTCTTCCCGACCCTTCTGCTGTGGGCGTTTTCAGTGCTCCTGCCCTTTGTTGTCTACTACTCCGCCTTCTTTGAGTCCCACTGGACCAGGTACTGGGTAGTCATCAACTACCGCTCTCCTCAGCCATCTGAAATAGAAATGTGGATATTTTGCTTCGTTTACTTGCAGCGGTTTTTCTTCCTCTCAACTATCAGCGTTCCTCTTTTTTTTTTCCATCTAATTTATTTCTTTTTCACCCTCTTGCTCTTTTTACTCTCCCCCCTCTCTCTCTGCCACTCTCCCTGCACTGTTATTCTGGGCAGGTTGTCATAGAGATCTCCGTGCGAGGATAATGATATGAACAGTAGTCACCGTTTCCTCTATGTGCGGTGACTAGCAGGAGGAAGAACAAGTGTGCATAAGAACAACCTATAAGCACCCTTTCTTTACATAACCACCCCCACAAACGTGTTGTGCAGGCGTGATGTGTGAAGGGCCGAATGCAAATCAACTGTTTACTGTAGTGAAAAATGTAGTTTGTGCTAATGGGTACAAAGAGTCAACTGTTTTTTCCATTTTGGGCTTTTAATTCATGAATTTATTATGTTGTTGTTGTTTTTCTTTTTGTGGGTTTTTTGTGTGTGGGTTTTTGGGTTTTTTTTAGATATATGTTGCAAAATATGTATCGCATGTTCTCATCTTATTGGATCATTTCATGTCTCAGATCTGGTGAGAATCAAGTGACGATGCACAAGTGTTTTTTCTTGCTGGTCTTCATGGTCATCATCCTGCCTTCACTTGGTCTGTCCAGGTACATCTACAGTGATTTCCCTTTTTGATCTACTTCTTTTGAATTATTCCTGGGTTTTTGTGGTTTTTTTGTAACGTTTATGCACTTTTTCTATTTTATTTCTGCTCTAGCCTTGACCTCTTGTTCACCTGGCTCTTTGATGTCAACTTCCTGGAAGAGAAGGATTTAAAATTTCAGTAAGATCAAAAAATGTAATGAGAAGTGCAATCAAACACATTATTTCCACTCCACGATTATCTTCTTGTGCAGCTACACACTGCTATCTGCTCAGGTGCTATGTTTTCCATCACTCTGTGGAAGTAAATAAATAAATAATAACAGAATGAAATGATTTACAATTTTCACAAACTCATATTTTACTCACAATAGAACATAAAAAAATGTTTAACCTCAGAAAATATGAATTCATTGGAATTTGATGGCGGCAACGTATGTCAAAAAATCTTCTTACACCTTCTTCTTTTACTGACTTGTTGCCATTGACTTAATTAGTTGCAAAGCATTTTTCTAGCTGTTTCTTTTTAGTAGTTTTGAGATTTGTTGCTGGCGTCAAATTCAAAATGAGCTAATATTTTTTTTCAAATTGGGACGTTTTCCCAGTTTAAACATTTCAATATGTTTTTTTTATATTGTGAATAAATTATGGCTTTAGGAGATTTGTAAATCATTGCATTCTGGTTTTTACTGGGGTTGCAGGTAAAAAAGTTGATAAGTTGATATTTGCTGCAGTAATAGTTTGCGGTCCTTTGTCCAACTGTAGGACATTAGTGTTGATAATGGGGCTTTCAGCTTCATCAGAGTCCCTTCACGTGGGAGCGAGCTAAAAACTGGAAAGCACCGCACAGATGCACAAGAAGATGACTTTGAGCCAAAGTGAAATCTGATGTATATTTTTTAATTATTATTTTATTTGTTATTTGGAAATTATTTGGTTAAAACTGAGTCTCAGAAAGAATCTCCAGCAGCCCACTTCTTGTCTGTGTCTTAATGCAGGTGTGTGTTTCTTCCTGACAACGGCGCATTTTTTGTAAACTACGTAATTACATCCAGTTTGATTGGCACGGCTATGGAATTGCTACGTATCCCTGCACTGACGGTGTACGCACTGCGCCTCTGCTTTGCAAAATCCCAAGCTGAGCGGATTCATGTCAAACGGGTAAGCAGAGCCTTGGTGCTTATCTTGGCATCTTAACACGCTGTTTGGTTTAAACTTTAAGAAGCCAGCTGTGTTTATTTTGTCTCTGCAGAGTCAAGCTTATGAGTTCCAGTTTGGCCTTGAGTACGCCTGGACCATGTGTATCTTTGCTGTCAGTATGACCTACAGCATCACGTGTCCCATCATTACACCCTTTGGTGAGCAGCACACAACTACAATCTTGTAAAGCCATCTACCTCTTCTTCTCACCCTCTCTTCTCAGCCATCTGCATCCCAACACGTCCCGTCTCAGTCGTGTTTGTGTAAGGCTGTGTCTCCTCGTACTGTAACCTCACTCTCCTCTGCTGCCTGCCAGTCCGATGCAGACTGTGTGAATTTGCTGCTGTAGTCCCAGACACTCAGACACAGCGAGCTGTGAGCCAGACGCCCACTCTGCTCCTGTCTCTGCCCGGCGCTCACCGAGCTTCTATTTACTTCTGCAATCTAATCGTCAGTCAAAAACAGGCCGCCTTTAATGCACCAAACTCTGTGTCTGCTTGCATTTCACCTGCTTTTTTTCTTTCTTCTAGATTTCAGTTTTCATTTGATGAAGAAGACCAAGACAACAGATTTTTTTTTTTTTAATTTAAAGGCAAAAAATGTAAAATTAGCTTCCAATTGATCAAAAACAGGGACTAGAACAGGGTGTAAAAAATAAGGCCCGGGGGCAAGAACCTGTTTGGCAAAAACAAAAATCTGACTCACCAAAAGGCTTTGGAAAAATTTGAATGAATGCATAAATTTTTACCTTCTAACTTTAAAACTATAAAATAAATAAGAATAATTTTCTGTGAATTAACAAAAATTTTCTTTTCCTGTAAATTTGTACATTTAACACGTAGAAAAAAACAAGACACACTGTTGAAGTTGCATTTCTTTTCTTCTATTAAAGGATATCCCAGGGATTCGATGTTTAGTTAAATATCTGTCACTGGTCTGGTCTGAGTTCAAAGTTTTATGATGTAAATGAGTTTGAGGTCATATTTATCCCGTATTAGTATCTTTTAAATTCCTCTCTTAAATCCAAAATTTAATTTAAAATCCTAGTCCTGACATACAAAGTCTTGAGTGCTCACATCCCATTACATCTGTCAGACCTTTTAGTATCATAAAATACAACAAATCACTTACTGCAGGTTTATTTGTTTTTCTTAGAGTTTCCAAAAGTAGAATGGGAGCCCGAGCCTTCAGCTATTTAATCCCATCAAGTCCCATTTTGGACTCAGGAAACAAACACTCTGCTTTTTGTACATCACAATCCTCATTAGATTGATCAAACCCTGTGTGTGATGTTGACATCGATCAGATAACTTTGTTTCTCTTTCATGTTGCAGACATCATCATCAGTGCATTTCTGTTTAACTTTTTTCTTCCAGGTCTGCTCTACGCGATCCTGAAGCACATGGTCGATCGATACAACATCTACTATGCTTATGTTCCCACCAAACTCAACCAGCGAATCCACAGAGCAGCCATTAGCCAGGTCATTGTAGCTCCCATTCTCTGCATGTTCTGGTTGCTCTTCTTCTCCGTGCTCCGATTAGGTAAATATCCCTGCCATAAAAATTCATAAAGATCGGTGGATTGTCAGGATACTGTAATATTGTAATTTTTCATGTTTTTCCCCTTCACTGTCACAGGTCCAATGCATCCGATCACCCTCTTCACTTTAGTGTCCCACATCTTCTGCATTGTCTGTTACCTCCTCCGCTTGTGCCTTAGGAAGCAACCAGACAAGTCAACAAGCTACCAGGTCAGCGCCACCAAGTGTCACAGAGACAAAATCAGCTGAAGATGACTTATACTGAATTTGAACTAATATTTTTCCCATGCATTGTCTCTTTTGTTTCAGATGTCTGATCAGCCAGACGGGACGCTCACTGATGCAGACAGGAGTACCGTAACATCCACCACCGCCTCCAGTGTACAGTACCATTTCTTTCTCTGTTGGCCAATACACAACCAAAGCATATTATTGGAGAGAGACCTAAATGTGACAGAGAAGTTAATATATCAGTGGATTGTGTGCTGGATGAGATTTCCACTGAATGAGATTTAATTGTTTAGTTTTCCATGAGATCTGAGAGCCATATGCTCTTAAGGTTGTGAAAGAATCAACCTCAGAAGACAAGCACTGGGGTTATTCCATATAAAATCAAATATATCACTAAAAAGTTCCATCTTGACTTTATAACAACATAGTTTTTCTCTTAATTGGGACATAACAAAAACTCAACCAATATAATATCCATGACATGGGAATAGTAACAAGCTCAGGATGTTTGAACTGTTAATTCACAGGAGAAAGAAGTTGAAAGAGCTTTTTGATGAACCATCTCCATGTGGGATAGATAAGTGGTCAAAGCAAGTTATAGCATGTGAAAGGTCTCTTGTTTATCTCCATTTTAAACCAGGCACACACTGCCTGTGAATAAAGTGATTTACTGGATGACACAATTCCAAAATGTGCATTGATCTGCTTCCCTCAGCTTTTTGTGGCATCTGTGTTGCTGGAGCCAGAGCTGGCTTTGACTCCGATGCCCTCCCCAGCCCACCACAGCTATGGCGCCATGGCCAGCTCTCAGAGTTCAAACCGTGGGCCAGCAGAGGAAGAAGAAGGAGAGGGGGAACACACCCAGACCCGTGAGACTGAGCTCCAAGACCCACCAGACCTCTATTGCTCCACCACGCTCATGGACAGCTCCATGGGCTACCAGTAACACCAAATCTCCACCCAAAACTGACTTCTACGTGTCCTTCAGCTGAAGAACACAGATTACTAAATGCCGCAATGCTGCGTTTTCGCCACTGACCTCAGACTCCAACTACGCTGCTGCCTCAGACTCTGAGACTAGACTGTGCTTGCTAGTAAGGCTGAAGAGCCTGAAGAGTAACGGAGCCTGAGAATACAGGAGCTAAATGCTCTTAAACATCACAGTTGCAGAAGAAAGCCATTTGCCTAAACAATCTGCCGAACCCATCAGACACAGCTCAACAGAACATAACACCAAGCTAAATGTACAGATTCTTTTAGCTAAATGATCAGATGCTGATACGTACTCTGTCTTCTTCTATGGCTTAATTTGCAAATTAAAAAGGTTACAAGTGATGCAGACTGTAATAGAAATGCATTATGGTTTCAGTCAGAGATACTCTATCCATGCTGTGTCGCTTGGAAATGAGTGGAGGCGAAAGTTCCCATCAGAGTGGGTGGTGTGAACAGGCTTGCCCCGACAGACTGACAGAGGGGTTTGGGCATAGGTGATATCTGGTTCCTCTGTAGCAGAGCTCGGCAGGGCTGAGGGTGAGGGCAGCTAGTTGTGAAGCCATCTGCAGTGAGACAGCAGACAGACGGACGGAGGGCCAAATGTAACTCAGAGATGTACCGTAATATATGTACGCTCTAAACGGAGGCACAAACAGCTTGACTCAACCTGAAGCTTGTAACTATTATCAATATAAGGTTGATATTTTTGCTACAGTATTTTTGGTGTCATTGATATTGTGCTTTGGGTTGGGGGCGGGAGGAATCGAGGATGTACAATGATTTGCAGAGATGTCTCATCTTAATCAAAACCTTACCTAATTATGTTTCGACTGTACATATGGTCAAAGTGGAATAGCTTGAGCTTTTTGGAAATCTGCTATCTATTTTCTTGCTCACAGTTTGGTAAGAAAATAAAGCATGTAGCCTGTTAGCTTAGCTTAGCACAGGTTGGAACTAATGACCACTGATTGTGCACTAATTTTCTGGTAGGCGTAGCGAGATACTCTGAGGGCATTATATAGGGTATAGTTTGGAAAGTACTTTTAAACGTCAAACTCACTTTACTGTTAGCATTGTTACGTCTTTGTGTAACGTTACTGAAACTTGGGGACTCGAAACATGGAGAAAGGGCTAGCCTACAGGCAGAACCAGTAACTTTGTGGGGTGTTGATGCCAAGAATCTTGTCTTCACTTGTAGACACACGGGCACCCTGGTAAGTAGTTATTTCTATAATACTTTTTTTCAAGTCCACCTAAAGAATGCACGTGCAGTAGGTGCACTGTAGAGTAGCGTCTGGATTAGTCTACACAGAAAATAGGCAGGCACTTGGTTTTCTTTACAAAACCTGTAGTTTACCTTCTGAAATTTAGATCTCTTGGCCCCAGGGAGACATTTGTATACACTGGTTAGGTACAGAGTCATGGCAAAAACAAACTAAATGTCTTTCAGTTCTGAGGTTTTATTTATCAGGACATAATAAAAAAGTTGTGTCTTTATAAGGTAACAAAATTGGATAAATACAACCGGGGATGAACAACACATGACATATTACAACAAGTCATTATTTATTTAAAAAAAATCTAAGCCAAAAATGCAGAAGCAGTCCTCTGGAAAACTAAATCCATGTCATGATTCAGTAGCTTGTAGGAGCCCAGTCATTCTTTTCTGTGTGAATAATGGACTTTAAATTGCTTGGAAAAACTTCTAACGTTTCCCAGATTGACGGGCAGCAATAGTTCTTTCTCAAAAGTCATTGCTGATGCCTTTCCTCCTTGGCATTGCATTAGCACACATCTGAATGCTCCAGACCAGCAAACTGTCAAAATCTCTGCTTTTACCGAGTTGGTCAGACTTACTGACGATCAGTTAATCAAGTGCATTGATTAGCAAGACCTGACTGCTACTTTCTCTTTTAATTCCTAAGGAAGCAGTAAGGGTGTACTTTCTTACACTGCTTCTGCATTTTGGCATTGCTTATGTTAATCAGTAACGACTGAGTGTAATATGCCATGTGTTGTAGATCATTTAAGGTTTTCACCATGACCGTATAGCATTGTGCATAGCTAGCAGTCTGTTCGTTTAACCCATAACAAAATTACAATATCTTTGGCTTAGCATACAGACCTGAAAGGAGGGGAAACAGCTAGTTTCTGGTTTTAAACCAGAGACTGGTTTAAAAGTAGCAGAGACTTTGCTTTATGGTGTGTTGCTGCTAAGCTAAGCTAACTTGCTATGGTACTAATATATACATCAAAGTGCAGGCAAGAAAGTGTTTTGTAAAATGTGAAGCTGTTCCTTTAAGTTGTGAAGAAATGGAGTATAATAGAAGCGCATCCTAAAATTACATTATTTTCCAAATATGCCATGGAGTCTGTTTTGTGCCACTGCAGGAGAACAACATGGAAATCTCCAGAAGAAGTTTTTCGGTTTTGCTAAGTTTGCTAAACTCAAAAGCTTTTATAAAATTTTCCAGTTTTTTTGGTGTTGGTCAAATAGGTCACTGCTGAAATTAGGTTTTGTTATGTTGCAAAGACAAACAGTAAAATAAAGCACTATCATGCTGTTTTCAGTTGACATATGCTATGTAACACGTCACTGCATGTTAATTACATATGTGCTAAACTTCATGTTTTTTGTGTCAATCTGTTGGTTTTTTTTGGTCTTTTTGTTTTTCTTTTAAATCCTCTTTACAGCGGGTAAAAGATTTTCTCATGTGACTGAATGTTAATTTCTTACTAATGTCTTTTGCTGTGCCTTGGAAAAAAAAAACGCCCTTATTGTGTGACAATCCAGCATGGCCTGAAATATGCTGCATGGACGAAACAACCAAGAGATAAAAATCGTAACAAACCCAAAACTCAATTTTTTAACAGCCAGTGCGTCCTTCATTCAGAATAAAACAAACATACAATGTGAGCTTATTCTACTAAGATATTAACAGTCAATCTGCACACGAAGTCCTCTACCTTTATCTTTATCTAGAGCTTTTGAATATATCACACGATCTTCATCAGCATATTAACTGGCTCAGCTGTCATCCATTCATTCAAAGCTTACACCATCCTGCGTACTCGTGGGACAGGAAGTCCTAAAGACGAACAGATCACTGACCAGTGCGCAAACCTCATCTGTTCTTGAAGACCAAGTGATGGGATCAAAAGCTGTAGAATAGGAAAGCAAGTGAATGTCATAAAAATGGTTGATTGCGAGGTTAAGAATGAGCGCGTGGCTTGTAGTTGTATCAATATTTTGTATTGTGTACTTGTTTGTGCCTTGTCACTGATTTCAATCAAGCCCTTTTTATTCCTCGGTTACCTTATTTTTGGATCATACGTATGTATGACGGGGTTCTCTAAATGTTTGTCTTTGATTAACAGTGACTGCTATGGGTTAGGTAGCTCCTTGTTGTTAAGTAGAGTAAGTTATAATCGGTTTTCTGTTCTGTCTGAGAGAGTGTATCATGATATACTTATAGTCATGCTTTATATAACATTAATGGCACGTTTTGTTATAAAGTGACATGTATTTTGCTCGTTTTACAGGGACTCTAATTGTAGTAGCTTATGCTGTATAAAGTAGATGAAAGCTAGCAGCAGAGCGCAGATGAAGTGGCCACTGCAGAGGATCATGAAGTTTAAAAAAACAGAACATCAAAGAGCATCTCAAAATTTCAGTCTCCAAACTGCAAACATGTCCCATGGCTTTCTCTTCCAGAAGCTCGTTTCACAGATCATTAAATGTGCTTTCCTTTGAAAAATACAAAATAAAAACTAATAGGGTATTCTTAGCTCTAATGGCCATGCGAAGAGGGATTGTCCGTTCCCATGCTTTACTAGTTTTATTGCATCCGGACATGTCTGTTCATGTGCAGTCAGCTTGGCCAACCGAGGTCTATTGGGTTTCCAGACGTGCCCGATGCTTTTTGCTCTTCGTTTATAAAATATGTGTATCATAAGTACATTATTTCAGATTTTATTCTGCTGTAAAAGTGGGCTGCTATTATCTCCAAGAAGTCTGAGGTTTAGGGACAGGCTGTGTTCAAGATTGATCTCTGTCAGGCTAATGAGTTTTCATCTGTTATAAGTGAAGTGCTGTGATCTGAGATTAAAATGAATTCAGCTCAATCCACTCATCTTGTGCCATGAACTTCTTGTTACTCTCTGCTGTGGTCTGTGATGGAAGCTTTTTCAGACACAGTGAGTCAGACTTCATGTGGAAAATAGAAGAGCCGCTGTGAGTGCGCTGGTATAAGAATACGATTCCTTTAGGAAATGTGCAAAAACATGTTTTGCACAGTACTTTCAAATGTTCATTTGATATTTAGGAAATATTTTTATTTATGTTAGAAAATAATGTGGATATCATCTGCTCTTATTCTCTTAAGCTAAGGTAAGGGCAGCTTTAATGGACACATCCAGTATCCCATCTAATTCTTGGGAGGAAACTGTAAAAAGTTAAGCTACTCATTTAAAATCTACCAGCTGATAACAGTGTTTCTTCTCATTTCCAGGCTTATTACCCATACTGAAGGTCTTCACACAAATGACTTTTTGGACAGTTACCTGTACATACTAGAGAGCTCACTTGCCCTGAAACCACATCAGAGTGTGGATATAGGAGTAAATTTCATAATCGAACCACAGTGGAACATCTTGTGCTGTTTAAAGATCTTTTTCTATCAAAATAATGAAAATGTATGAACCATCTTGCACTGACTGGATTGGTTGAATTTCTCTGTACGAAACAGTTTGCAGAGTGGAAAAATACCAGACTTCCACCGTGCACGATACTCCTTCATTGCACAGTCACAAAAGAAGACAGAGAGAGGAAATGCCACGGATGACATTTCCGTCGTCACCTGTGGCAACTGCTGATGGCATGATTCTCAGAGAAAGGTGAATTCCTCTGGGTCTGTGGTCTGCCATCTGCTTTCCCCTGTCCAGATGCTTAGAATAGAAAATGTCTCTGCCTCCTGCTGCAACCATATTGTCACTCCCATATGGCTTTGAGTCAACATACAAACGCAGCTCAAAAAGTTAGTATTTTAAGTCCCCTAGAGTATATTATAGTATCCAACTGACTTATATAAGAACATTCATTGTTCCCCTTGGCAAAACACAATTACCACAATGTCGATTTAGTGGCTGTACTTTCCAGCTCTTCTCACAATCTTCTTCTAAACATGGTTTTTGTCCAGTATTAAGTTTCAAATTTAATAGCACCGTAGAGACCTTTTGTTTTCCATGTTGGTTTAAGGGTGAACCTTTTTCAGAGAGCAATTCCCCCCCCCCACCAAGGACCTGCTAGCAGCAGCTCAATATTCAGTTACATCACAGCGTCTTTCTCGACTTTCAGATTAAACCCTCTGCTGACTGTTTTTCTATCTGAGGCAATGTTTCAGGGAAACAGGGAAAGCCTTATATGGCTGAAGAGGTCTACAATACATTTCTTTTACATAACATTTGTTGGCATCAAAGATGCTAATCACTCAGGGTTTCAGGGCATACACAGATTGTGTCGGAGCCTGGGAATAGCTGCTGCCAAACCTGGTTTTATAGATGTGCTCAAAGACTGCTAATTAGCATTTTTTTTTATTCAATCTTTACCACAACTGGAGCACGCATTTTGAATTTGGCATCATTATGCAACAACACCAACACAGTAAGGGAGCCCAGTTCACAGATCGAGACATCTAAGCTGAGGAAGCCAAACAAATGTGAAGCAGAGGTGGGCGGATCGATCCAAATACTGATATAATATGTAATTACATTACATTTTTCTATCCTTTAAGTTCAGTATGCATCCCACTGAACTGTGTTAAATACGCACTAAGAAAAATGTCTGAATGTTTTTGTGTTGACAGCAAACTGTGTTTTATTTATAGCCCATTTAAACAACAGAAACTGAACCAAAGTGCTTTGGAAACAGGTGCATTTAAATTCCAGATCTCCAAAAGAAAAAACAGTTTCTAAAAAACATGAATAGCTGAAAGTATGGTAAATTAAGTATGGTAAAAATCACAGTGATTTGTTCAGAATGTGTTCAGAATTTGCAAATTGATGATGATTTATTTCATAAATCATGACACACTGCCCTCCCCTGCCTCTTTTGGTTAACAATATCAATATTGGTATCTGCAATACTGGCCCTGTATTTACTTGGTATCAAATTTGAAGTATCTTGCAGCAGTAATGTCAAGTGACTTGATGTCACAAAAAGAGGTCACGCCCTATATAATAAATTCTTTGCCAGAGAATTCAAATTTTCAAAAGATTTTGTGACAAATTAAAGAAATAATTAAATATTCATTTGCATATACACGTTTAAATTTATATCCTATTGGATCCATTTAAAAATGTATTGATCAATTTATTTTTAGGACTTAAGGTGTGTTCTACATTAATGATGTAGAAGAAGAAGAAACTCACAAAAACACTTGTAAACTAATGGGGTTACACTTTCATATAGTCTAAATGGGTGATATACCTTTCACATAATAACATCACACAAAATCTGCACAGCGATGATGTGAAGCTCCCGTTCCACTACACCCCAAAGGTGGATTGAGATCCAGGTATTTACCAAGGCCTTTAGAATACAGTGAACTTGTTCTCATCTTCATGAAACCAGTTTCAGATGATCTGAGCTTTGTGACATGGCACATTCACCTGCTGAAAGCAGCAATTAGAAGATGGGCACACTGTGGTCACAAAGGGATGGACATGGTCAGAAAAAGAGCCCAAAATATTAAATGATGGCCTGAAAATTCAATTGTTTTGAAAATGAAGAGTTTATTGAACCATCTGACAAATTTGTCAGATGGTCAATTCAATTTGAATTTCCATATGACTTTTAATTTGTGCCATATTTACTACGCCTGTCTATTTCTTTATTTATCTTTTTCAAGGGGGGGGGGGGGGAATCACACTGATAATGCAGAAGTCTCAAAAACTCACAAAAAACAGTCTGTCTTAAATATGATACACTAGGCGTTAACAGGGAAATCATGCTCAGTTGACATACATGGCCCAAAATATGCCAAGAAAACATACAGATATATAGAAGATACAAGGCAAGCAACCAAGTGTTACAGCAGAAAGACTCATCAGACCAGAAAATGCTTTTCCAGTCTTTGGTTATCCAATTTTGGTGAGCTGGTGTGAATTGTAGCCTTAGTTCGCTGTTCCTAGCTAACAGGAGTAGCACCCACTGTGATCTTCTGCTGCTGTTTCCCATCTGCTTCAAGGTTTGCAAATGTGCATTCATCTTGGTTGTGACAAGTGGTTCAGCGGTTCTTATCATCTAAAAGGAGTAAGACCATTCTCGTCTGACCTCTGACATCAACAAGGCTCAGGGAATGGCCGCTCACTGGATATTTTTTCTTTGTCAGACCATTTTCTGTAAACCGTAGAGATGATTGTGCTAACCAAACTTCCCAGCAACAGTTGCTGACTCAGCACTCCACCCTTTTTCCCAATGTGGCCATTTCTGGATAGAAAGAGCCAACATGGCACCAGCCAAAGTGCTAAATGGTTGATGGCCAAGTCCATCTTTTATATACAGTCTATAACATTAAATATATGGGTCTGCGGGGACTGAATTTGGAGGCAACTCAAAAGACCATTAGTGACAGTTGGTTTAATCACCCATGGAGGTTGCCATTTCAGAATATACCCTTTGTCATATTTCTGGACTACCAATTATAGAAGACATCAGAAATTCCATTGCTGATGTTGATCAATCGTGTGTAAATAGGATGTAGTACACCCAAGTTGTACTGTTCACCAGCTACACACGATCCCAAATAAATCCACTATCCTGTTTGAGAAACTACAGTACCCATCTGTTTTCTAGTCACACTATAGGTTTGACTGTTTAGATTATCTCTCGCTACATCTTCCACAGGAATGAGCCTGATCCGTAGACAGGCAGAAAAGGGAATTCAAAGACTACTTCTTAGTAGGAGTAGCTGTTCAGCAGCTGCTGACAGATAGCTCATTCTCATGCTTGTGATGGCTGCTTGGCAGACTTGTGCTGCAGTCTCCCAGAGAGCCATCGGAGCAAATCTTATTAGCCCGAGCTCACATGCACAGTCACTGTCAACACCTCTCCACTGTAGGATTTACGATGAGTGAGGGATTGAGCAATGCAACGTTTTTCTCCTTCATCAAAAACGCACATATATACAACCATCACCTTACAGTTGCCATGACAACAATGAATACCCCCCCCCCTCTTTTTTTGTTCCAAAACACATTGCAGACTTTCTAAAAATATGTATGTTGTCTTTTCTCACAGACTTTTTTCCCCCCAGATGACAGCCTTCAGAGCAAAAAGCTACAAGGTCAATCTGTAGCAGTAGAGGAACAAAAAAAACCATGAAGGAAATAAACATATAGTCAATGTGAGTTTATTGAAATTTGTTGCAATCCATTACCAGGGGATGAGAGAGAGCATGAAGTTCAGTTTTGGTTTTTATATTGCAAGAGCAAGAGGCCAACACAAATCCAGCAGACTCTTGCAGAGAGGGTAAGGATATTGTTGGCAGTGCAGACAGACGGGTAAGTTCCAAGTCAGCTGCTCCACCATCAGCCGAGCAGACAGCGACTTTCACAGTGACACAACAGAAAAAAGAAAAATGAGCTGATATGTGTGTAACTCATCATAACCTTCCTGCCTGCCCCCACTCATCTGATCACTCTGGCTTTAGATGATATTCAAGTAGAAACGCATCCAAAATCTGCACAGTTCTGCTCGTTTTTGAAGGAAAGCATAAAGGAAAATAAAGATAAAGTGATCCAAATTGTGATACTGTGAATTTCTGAAAACATACTTGAGGTGACATTGTGCAGTTGCATGAGTAAGTGGGCTGAAGTCGCCCTCGTCTCGGAAGCCAGGGGGGGCGATGAGCCATTCGACGCTTGGATCTTATGTAACACTGAGAGATGGGCTGTCAGTGGGAAGCAAATCAGGCATTGTGTGACTGATTTCAAAACCTGACCGCTGTGTTGCGATCGTAATCAGTCCGTGACAACACATTTAAGACAAGGAGGAAAACACACTGACTTCAATAAGCAGTAAAATACCCACAGATCACTTTATTTAGCCTCAAGTAAGCACATGACATA